ACTCTAATAGCATGCGGCTGAGACAGATCTTCAGATGTTTATGACTTACGCCCATTTACACATGATCAAAGACGAAAGCCAAGCACCATCCTTTGGGTGCGCTTTAGATGGGTCGACAAAGATGGGATGTGTTCAAAACGACCAGGGATAGTGGTTGCATACTGATCAACTGAGATAATCATGGATTCTGCTGTGGGACAAAGGGAAATGTTCTCCCAGATTGCTCCTATTCGAGCTTCCTTTCTGTCAAAATTGTATTCACCCAGTTTGTCAACTCTTCATGAGCCTACTCAACTATCGTGTCCCTTTTCTTATCAACCTCCCATCAAGGGTCTGCTTTTCTCTTCGTCACTGTTCAGTACTGTACTTAAAGTAGTGAAACCGAAGAGAACGAGCGGCGAAGTAGCGAGAAAGAAATTCAAGCCCCGCGGCAGCCATTCCTAGGGACAACTGGCATGTGAGGCTATAACTATCCACATATTGCATAAAGTGGCTCAGAATATCAGCAAGCACATAGATTGGGTTGGGAGCTAGGTAATTCCTGATGTAACAGGCGTAGCTGTACTGTCTTTGTAAAGAGTCTCAGTAGTTAGCCTGGGACTCTTTACAAAGAGTCCATCTCCTTATACTACCTGTCTCCACAGGAGCTCTTTATAAAGAGTACACCTCTCAGTTACTCCCTTGGGGCCCGGCCACTGCCCCGGCACTTCCCCGTCGTTCCGAATGCTGCAAAACATTGCGCTCGCTGTTCGCGCTTGCGCCCGCGCCTTTCCATTTTGGGTCGTTGCTACACGTGCAGTCCTCGCGCCTTCCGCTCACTTCGCCCTCTATCCCGCCCTCTATCCCGCCTCTCCAGCATCGTCGCAGGTGACGCCACGCTCCTTCGACTATTTCTCAAAAGTTCACCTTTCTGTATTCCGCATCCGACATCTTCCTCCTCTCTCTCTACTCCTTGTCTCTGACGCCGCCCGCAATTCCTCGTCGCCGCCATCGTGCTCGCTTACGCCACCGCTGGTGCCACTGCCATCACCCACCTCCACATCTACATTCCTCTTCCCCTCCTCCGCCATCGCTTCTCCCACGAACACATCCTTCAACCGCCCAGAACGGCATCGTCCATATACGCCACCAATCGCCTTGCCCTCGCTCGCCCGGGTTTCTTTCGTGGTGATTGCACGGGGTACAAACAGGATGGGTGGATGTTGAGGCATAAATATAACAACCGGCTTATTTTTTGGTGCGTGCGCTCTCTTTTTTTGATACCAACAGCCATTAACGTCCCCTTCGACGCGCCTCACCTTCCGGTTAAAAGGACTTTTTTTGGTCAGCGTTTACTCTTCGGGATCCATATTGATCTTTCCTCCATACATTCAACCCATGCCGCCCTTACTTTACGCATATCGATCCCCCATCTACTCCTCCCCGTTCTCAATCTTTCACCCCATGCCACGCGATGTCCCCCTACGTAGAATAATTGTACTACACGTGCTCAAATATACATGCTAACGCCCCACAAAAACAAATGCCCGCCCAATTAACGAATAAACCGAAGAATCCAAGCCCCTGAACACGAGCGTGGTCATGCCTCGTCCAGAATGGACTTGCGTGCGAGGAAAAGCAGCGCCGCCTGGCGCACAACCATCCACCTCTCCTCAAATGCCTCCCGCAGGCCAAGGTACATGTCTGCATGCTCGCCCGCGTAGGCAAGCAAACCCTCCTTTAGTTCCTGTTCGACGGAAACCTCTGGGTCCTGATTCTCTCCCGCCAAGGCCTCCGTCCGCTCCGTCCGCCCCTCCCACCACGTCGACATGTGCGAGAACGTCACAAGGGTGCGCTCCATCTCGACTCTAAGCAAACGCACCTCCTCTTCCCAACGCTGTGCTCTCGCCCTCGCTTTGAGCCATTCCACGCGAACCCCTGTGTAACCCGAAAGATCAGAATATTTCTCGAACACGCCGAAGTACTTAATAGGTACGTACCATCATTCATTTCTTTTGAGAGGGCCCCATCGTCGAACTGCAAGCATCCTTGGTACCACAGCCAGGAGATGTGGCGTCGGCTCTCCCCAGATGTGGCCTGCTCGTTCTGGACAACCACCACCCTCTCGCCCGATTCTCCAGCACCTTCTCTATCCCCTCGGACACGGTGTCGAGTGGCCTCGATCTCTCTTCTCTCCTGCTCGGCAACTGCTCGTTCCCCTAACCCTTTCACATCGTCGGCCTTCAACTCTTTCAATCGCGCCCCCTCCACCTCTCCTACCAATGAAATGTACGCCTTCCGGGCTTGTCGATACTTGCTGGCCGAAGCTGATATTCGTAGCTCGATCGTCTCCTGCATGCTCCGTGCTCGGGTATTGTTCCGCTGGCCCGTTATATTCTTGATCTTGAGCTTGTTGATGTACACGCGAAGGTGAAGGCCTCTTCGAAGTTCTCCCAAGGCATCGATAGCGCATGCGTATCGGACGTCCTTCTCCATGGCACATAGCTCGCCGTCGCAGTATGCAGGCCGGATGGTGTCCGGTATGTTCGACGGCATGTATAACTGTATGGTCTCGGGAGCGCGGGTGGTATGGCTGGTGGCGGAAGGATTGTCTTCGGGGGAGATGAGCGCTGCAGTGCGGGGCATGTGAGTGTCTTGGTCGCTGCGGAAACGTTGTATACGCCGGAGAAGGTGAGTCTGTTGATCGGTGAAGGAGGCGGCCTGCGTGTTTGAGGGATTGGCCCGCATTTTCCTGGCGCGAGTGGCTAAGTCCCGTCTGACCGAAGTAAACCTGTTGGATACAAATAAAATACGAGTGCGAGTGGACGTACTGGCTGTCCTCGATTGCAATACCCTCGAGGATAAATGCACTTCGTCCAGGAATGACGTTGTGTCGTTCCCGGACTTGTGCAGCCTCTTCATCAGTGTGCCGCCTCGTCACCATCGCAAGCAGTACATTTAGTTTGCCATCATCACTCATAAATACTGATATCTCACCTTCTCCGTCTAGATCGTACGGGCTCGAACCATTCATGTCTCCATCCTCCCACTCCAAAACAGTTCTTCGCCACCTCGCCACTTCGTCCGCATGGTCCTCGTTGAGGTCGGCCGTGAACTCTTCGAAGATGCCGATGTGATCTTCGGCCTCCACCAGCGCGTTCTCAAGACGGCGTTCCAAAAGGTAAGCTGGATGAATAAGATCTCGCGTCAGAGGGTGCACAACTGGGACAACTAATGAATCACTGACCAAGATTGACCAGCTTCTGCCAGTTTGCGTGGCCGCAATGGTCGTCCAACGTGTCATGCCGAGCCCCAGGACCCATCTCCTTCGTACTCGGCGCAGCCCCATTCAACGTCACCCCCCAGTTGCGCTCAATACCCTCCCCATCAGTCTCGCCGGCTCCGGGCTTGAAGTTCAGGGAATGTGGCGCTTGACACTTCTCCTCGTGAGGCGGAAGGTGAAACTTTGGGACCGCGTATTGGACGGACTCAGGACCCAGTGTCGGACGGATATGGGCAGGGATCCCGTCGATCCGTTTGCTGTAGAAATGAATCTTCCACTGGCAAACGACGTCGTAGGAGATTAACATCCGGAGGACCCGCGTTCCTCTGGTTCCGGAGCAGTAAACGAAGTCCATGTTGCAATACCTGTAGAGAGAATCAGGCGAAAGGTTGAATCAATGTGAAAGGGTTGCATACCTTTCTCCTTTTTGGAGATCACCCATTCCGGTAGGCCTCCAAAAAGAGTGCCGAGCGCAGATGATTGCGCCGACACCCGTAGACCGAAGGCCCTTTGCGTTCTTCTGGTTCGCGTTCGACAGGGCTTCAAAACCAGAGCAGGTGCTTATCTAGATCCCGACGTCTTGAGTACGAGTGCATATATGAGCTCTTGCCGGCGAAATATAATTTACGGAACGTACCTCTTCTTGAGTAACATATTTTAGGATGTGCTTCTTATACTCATCCTCTGGAACGAAATACGCCCAACCCGTGCCAAGGCCCGGGTCCGTTCGGGAACTGGTGCGGAGTCGATTTTTGAGTCGAAAGTTTGCGTCCATTGCCAGTATTAGTTGGTATAGCCATCTACATAAGGGTATTTCAGCAACTCAAGTGCTCTAAAACTGTCATGAACTTACTGGTCACGCTTCGGCACTTGATCCCATCCAGCGGGCAAGTTGATGCCTGGTTGTGGACATGCAGGACAGTTCACCGCAAGTTCGCCATCTACAGTAGCCTTGATCCCTGCTGGATCATGGCCTCGACCTGCCCGTTTGACCATCTTGAGATGACGCCACTGCCTGGCCATGTTCATAAATGCCGGTAGTCGTCCCTATCCGTACAATGGCCGACGCCACAGAACGTCAGCTGGGCAAAACCATGGACGCTCATAAACATACCGGAGGGGGATAAAGGCCAGTATTGTCAGTGTAACGCTCTAGCGTGTGGAGAAAGTCGTATCCGGTCAACTTCCCCTGGAGCGAAAGGAGGTGGAAAAGCTTCATAGCGGCAAAGGTGGCGCCCGATTGTGGCGAGAGAACGGTGGCGGGGTATATACCAGCGCGGAGAAGCTGTACGCGAGGGTGTACTTCCTGGACGCTACAGTGGCAAACGTCGATGGTGGCCGAATGTATACCATTCGTGTGGATGACGGTGAAACCTCTCAGGGTTTGCCCAGTGGGACACTCGGAGCCAGGACGATGGGGGCCCAATCGAACCACAAGGCCAAGATGCGCGAGTGACTCTGGTGTAAAATATAGACCGTTCCAGCGCTGGATAAGAGATAATATATATATAAGATAGAGGTGGCCATACAAAGAGCAGAAAGACACGCGCCTTGATGCGATGGAACGGGTTGAGTTGATGGTGTGAGACTGCACACTGTTCGCACACCAACTGTCCGCCGAAGCAATCATAACATCGAATGACTGCCGACGCGTCTTCGGAGGTACAAGATGGACAGCATGTGTCCTTGACCCAATACCCACGGCCCTCATAACGCAAGAATTCATCCAAGTATTCTTGACGGTGTGGGAGCCAAGAAAGGAGCGGATTGTCCTAGAGTAAAATCAGGTGAGAGCTTGAAGAAACACCAGAAAATTACTCACTGAAGCAAAATTCCTGGCTTTTCGTGCATCCTCGTCTGTCAGATACACAACTACCCCCTCTTCGTCCAACCCACAGACTGCGTCAGGGTCCGACACTGACTCCACACCGGCTGGAACACCCCCACCCCCTGCCTCGTCATCTTCTCTTGCATTCGTCTCCACGTAGTCGTCGTCGAAGCCTCCTGTATTGGAGTCATAGAAGTCCCGCTCGAATTGATGGAGGTTAGCCCCGAATTCAAAGGCATCGCCGGAGTCAGGATCGGCTGAGGGCTGTCCTCGCAATCGATTGAGTACTGAATCAAGCACGGAGGGAGGAGTTCTAGTAGGTAGAGGTGTGGCCTTCTTGGCAGTAAGCTCTACAGGCTTCGTATGTGACATAAGGCGTCGGTGGTCCGTAGAGAGAGACATCGTGGATGAGGCACCTCGCCTTTTGCTCCCCGCTGATTCGGCCTGCCGTTCGGCCTCCTTCCCAGGGTATCTGCTAGTTGTAGCGCGTTTCATAGTCGATCCACAGCGTATGCACGGCGAAAGCAGAGAGATAGGCGAGGATTACAAGATTCTTGCAGAGCGAAGAGATGGCAAACAGACTTTCGCGACGCGTCGCGTCAGTCACATGCATCCGAAGTCTCGAAATTCAAATAACACATCTTTTCTCCTTATATGGTAGCAAGGTACGGCTCTGCGTCATTTGAAATATTGAGGCTTGCAGATTCAACAAGTCGGGTTTCCCTGTGCAAGTGTGGCGCACCGTTGCTTTGCTGCTTAACAGCGCACTTACTCGGGGTGTAATTGCACGTCCGAGTCGAGCACTCACACCCACGCATGATTTTGGAAACAAAACGAGATGTATTGATTGAAATATGTACTGTACTACGCGTTCTCATCCTCGAGAGGCCCCTCCAGCTCAGACTCCGGCTCCGGAATGATAGACAAGTAGTTAGAAACGTCCAATTGAAGATCCTCCACCTTGGAGAACATTCCGCAAGCTTCCTCCCACCGTGTGTCTGCTTCCCGGCGCATCTTTGCCCAGCCTTTACGATCTTCCGCTTCGAACTCCTCCGCCGTCCGATATCCATACGCCCACCAACGCACAAGGCCGCCCGGAACGTACTGGGTGAACGACTTGCGGAACTCGGTCTCCGGGTCGGCGAGGGGGGTATTTCCATGGGCTACGGCGGAGGACGGAATAAGGATTGTTGTGCCGGGGGGGGAATTCGATCACCACCTTCCAATCCCAAAGGATGAGGTGGCCACCTTTCATATAATCATACCGTCCTAGTGCGTGGATCGCACACATGCCGAAGATCAGGTTGTTGTAGTCGCGGTGAAGGTGGGTCCAGACATTCCATCCAAGGTTGAATGTGACGGCGGGGAAGACACTGAATGGAAAGGGGCGGAACAGGGAGGGGAGTCCGAGGCTTTCGATCTTCTTCTCGACGAAGGAGAGCACCATGTCGATAAAAGAGAAGGCCTTAGGTGACGTGAAGGCGTAGGATGCTGGGTGCGTGGGTCAGTAGATGAAAACAAACAAACAGAGAACAAGAACAAGGATAAAAATAAAAACAACAAAAGAAACAAGAGGGAAAACGCTCACTGCTGCCATGATGCGCGATTCTCTGGATGTTTGGATCTTGGCAGAGATCCTGAACGGTTCTCTTGTTCTTCACGGACCTCATGTCGATGGGCATGGGCCACTACAAAATGCAGTAAGCATGCGAAGATAATGTGAGATGTGAAAGGACGCACCCTCTGGCCGCCGCCCATAGAGAAGCCCGTATATATTGTCTCGAACAACCCACGACGGCCGTTTGGATCGTTTTGAGGGGTCGCCATCTTTTTGAGGGCCTGATCCATCGCCGCACACGCGCCTTCACAGTACGAGGTCCAATCCGGGTCGGGCGGGAAGCCGATGCACCTTGCAATGATGTGGCCAAGGCTGTCAACCAGTGCAAAGCTCTTTCTGAGAATAAAATGAATCAGAATCGACAGCGCGCGAAGGGGAAACGGAGAGAAGGAGCTTGCCTGCCATCCCATTTGACCAACGTGAACCCTTGCGTTTTCAGCAGCTCTTCAGCCGTCCAGCCCGCACCCTTAGCGGCCTCAAAGACTCGAAGCCCGATGAATGCACCGACGGCATGTGCAAACTCGGGTACCGAGAACCAGCTCACCTTGACGGTTTCCTTGACCGCGCCATACTTCTTGATTAACCGTTGCGGAAAAGACAGCGGCTCCCTGGTGGCCGGATGTCCCTGGTGTTCTTCTTCGACGGATCGCTCATCCTCCCTCTGCCGACGACGACGGTTCGTAACGCGTTTGTTTCTACCGGTCTTGGAGGGTCGTGTTGGTGGAATCGAGGACAGAGATGGCCCCTCCGTAGCAGAGGTGCTGGTAGAGGGCAAAGGCGAAGCAGTAGGCTCCGAGGGGTACACGGTGGGCAGAGTGGATAATGAAGGAGAGGCCGATGCAGAGGCGCTGGACACTATTGGCGAAGAAGTGGATGCGGGTAGTGGGCTGATCGAGTGAGGAAGTTCCGAGTTTACAGATGCCGAGGAAGTGGCGATGGGGTCTGACCGCTGCACATATCGATAACATTCGCTACGCCATTCATGATGAGAGCGGCGATAGCGACGTGCGAAGATGCGGGAAGGGGAGGAGAGGGGGCGGCACCGTCAGCATCCAAGAGGTCGAGTGGCAGGCCAGCGTCGTCCTGATCCTTCGCGGCCAGTGCATTCATGTCGGCGCGTCGCATCGAGTTGCGAAGATTAAACCCGGCGCACACGGAGACTACGCCCTCCAGTGGATCAGGGAGAAAATAGGGCGAGAACACGCGTAGACTGCGCGTCTACCAGTGTAGAAGGTTAGTCGGCATCGTGTGCGGTGTCGGCGTCGGAATTGCTCACCATGCGGTCCATTTTTGGAAGCCGGGGCCCGGCGCGTCGCTGGCAAGATCAAAAGAACGAGAAAAAAAGGCGAGAACGCGAATCAACATCAAACAAAACAGCAATACGGATGATATGAGGGATTGATAGGCAAACAATATAAGACGCAAAAAAAAAAACGCGAAAAACACGTCCCATGATGGACCTCTACCTCAGCTAAGGGAGCCGAACGCCCGCTCCAGCACTAGCCTACGGTAAGGGAGTACTCATGGAACGGCAGTATAAAGAAAAAATGTAGAGGAAGGGGGCAACAAGGGAGAGTGCATAGGCGTTGGAAAAATTATACTCACCTTGGTTTGAGCGGTTGGGAATGGGAGAAAGTGGGGAGACGGCGATCTGGGGCGGATGTAAAATACCCCCGCTATACTCCGACCCCACTTTAAACACCGCTGTGTTTCAGCGCACGCCAAATTTCTGGGTCACTCAATAATCCGGTGCACAGTGAATAATTTGACCAAAAAGAAAGCCATCCATCGAACCCGATACTGTGCAGTGGGTGAGGAGTATAGAGTGATATAAGTACTAGGAGTAAGTACTCTACAGCCAGGATGGCGACAACTAGGAGCTACGGTTCGACTTCAGGGCGTCGGCATCACCCAAACTTGCAGCGAGATCCATCAACAAGCGCACCCTTCACCATCCGTAGAGAACTCGGAACTGGTGTTTGTTCACACTGTAGAGTAGGGAGATAGTCAGCTGGAGGCCAGGCGTAAATGACACTGCACCGTTAGAAACACGTACCTGTGGCCCTCGAAGATCAAGACCCCGTCCAGCATTGCACACCTAAAGGCATCGTCGCCTTGCTTCAACAGTTCGATGACTTGATGATACCCGGCAATACTGCGACGATGCCGATGCTTATCTGCCTCGAATTCATCCACGTCGAAGCGCCGGGATTGTTGATCGACTGCAGCAAGCTCCTTGCGAGCAGTACACACCTCGTCTTGAAGGGTGCGCTCGAGGTTCTGGAGCATAACCTGACGTGCTTCATCGCGATCAGCGGGATTGGTCATATAATGAAGGCGGTAGAGCTGATCGGAGAGTGTTTCCCAGCTGGCTTCCTCTAGGAGTCTGCAGCTTTCGTTGCGCAGGGAATCCTTGGTTACACCACGAGACTTTATCGCAATGGTGCTATAGTATAGGCTGCACAATATGAGTATACACGAGATATGAAACTGAGATGGAGAGTACGCACGCACGCCTGTTGTCCAGTTTCTGCTTTGTTTCAGCGACTATTATTGCCCGCTCAGCCTTTCCAACTTTCCGTCGCCCGAGTGATTTGCGCAGAATGTTTTTGCGGGTGTGCCGCGATATTGCCTGGCTGTTAGGTGTTATGGAGAAATAATATGGCAGGGCAATTTCACTGACCTTTGTTGAAGTGTCATATGTTGATAGTCGGAGACAACGGGAGTGCAAAGTCGAGCGACGAAGAGGCAGGGCGGGAAAGACCGAATCGAGGCTCGCCGCCGACGAGTCTCACAATGTTGCTAGTGTACCACGTCAAATCAATTCGAAATAAATCTAATAAAAATATAGAATGAGCCTTGACATATGCCCCAATTCGAATCCTAAAATTTTTGTGAGCCAGATGAGACCAAGTGTTTATGTCGAAGGATGCGCGAAGGTAAGGACAAAGTACATAAAGCGCGAATACGAACTTTGCATGTTTGAGCAACAGACAAGACAATCAAACCATCCACCCTTCTTTCAAGTACTTATTTTTAAGAATTAGGCTGGGGCATTGATTGAGATTATACCTGCCATTTTTTGCTATTTGTTCCAGCGTCGATATCTGAGATATGGGCTGTCTAACTGTACTCGCCGTGCTCGAGGACGATGTGGCGCGGGGAAGGTATGGCTCATATGGTGCTGTGGCGGACTGTGTACGCAAACGAAATGTCGAGCCTTTCGAGTAGCTGTAGCCTTTCTTTGCGGCAGATTTCACAACAGGCCATCGTACGGCAGGAGAGCGGTTCACGCAGATATAGTAGAAAAACAAAATATTGGTTTGCGCAAGCAAGGTAGGTAAATACAGGAATCGGACACGACACGGAGAAACGAGGAGATAGATGCATGTGTAGAGGCGTCGCAGATACTACAGAATAAGATATGGTATGTTAGACAAAATTATCAGATGGTGTAGTGGAGAGAATGACCTTGAAGACGAAAGGATACCTTTACTCCTCGTCGTACTCCTCGTCCCCTTCTTCGTCCTCGTCCCCGTCCTCATCCCCATCCTCACCCTGCTCCTCTGCGTTTCTGTCCTCACATAAGTCGTCTAACTCCTTGTCTATGTGCTCCATGAGCTTCTCCGCGGACGGGCTTCCACGGACCCAGTCCTCGCCGTTCATTCGTGCAGTGCGTTCAGCGAGATCACATCGGTGGCAAGTAGTTGGTCGGGCGAGCACTTTTTTCGGCCTTGCCCATTTCCACAAGCCATCGGCGTCACGGTAGAAGACGTACTGGCAGAGGTCGAACCAGAAGTGGATGCCGCAAATGCTGGCGATGTGGAAGTGTTTGCAAGATAGGTCTGCAAATAGAAACAGGAGCCGTTAGTACAAGATGAAGAAAACAGAAGAGAAAAGGAAACAAGGAAGATGGAGAGGAGAGCCAAAGTAAAGTCACCAACCGTGATCACCCTGCAGGTGCTGATGCGGACCGTGCGGTATCGCTCTCCATGGATTCTGGAGAGCTTTCGCGATACGGTAGCGCCTGTCTCGTTCGCGGCGTTCCTCCTCGAGATCGAGGCCCCCGAAATCCATGTCGCACAGTCCCCAAGGATCATGGAAGAGTATCAAAGACATGGTGTAAGGAGACAGTGGTGCTTGTTAGAGGGAGATGAGCGTTGTAGGAGACAATGGGACGAGCACCGAGGCCGCCGAAACACGCTCAAGAGAAGCCGTGTTCTTGAGCTCGTACGTACTAGGTTGTGAACGGTGATTCACAGCCTTTCAGGGTCTTATGCACTCAGGCACACGCTCTCACACATTTCGCAAGGGCAACGTAAGCATTGTAGCAACGAGGGTTCGGTACACATCACGCACGGCTAAGAAGCCGCAGAACAAAACGAACGTGCATCTCTAGCTCTCCAGCAAAGAAAAGAAACTTGCGCGGAGAGGGCAAAAGAAAGAGGAAGGCCAAACACAGGGCACTGCGACAAAAAAATCTACAGAATACCCAAAGAACGTAAACAGTCGTGTCGAAGATGGGAAACATTGCTGGAGGTGGACTCACGGGTGTGCGGATCAGGGTGGTTTAGGGACGCACCGGGCACCGGGCGCCTTTTTATTTACGTGCGCGACACCATTCTTCCTGCTCACGACGGTCGTTGGCGATTTGCCATTTGATCCGAGCATGGTGAGAGAAGGCCCAGTACCGTTCAATGGCTTCGCCGTCGATTGTTGGTTCGGCCGCACCGTCGTCTCCATTGAAGACGCTGCCGCCGTTATCATGGTTCTTCGGAAGGGGAGGGTCTGTCATGATGGTGAGGGGTCAATGCATCCCGCGAGAGACTGCAAACATACCAGACGGAGCATCTGGTGAAAACATGGGTGAGCCACGAAACATGGTGATAGCAAAGGAAATACGCACCTTTGCCTACTTTGCATTTCTCATTATGAGCAGGAAGATGTACCTTTCCTCCCATCCATTGTGCATCAAACCCCTGACCTCCACCGTGCTGATTGTAGCCTGTCTGTTGAATCGCCCTCTGGGTATCCTCAGTTGTGGCGTTCGGCTGCCCGAAAAGACCTGCATTCCAGAAAAGTGGCGGCGGTTCGGTAAGAATAGCAGGGAGACCACTAGCAATTGGAGACGGCGGTGGCGCAGGGCAAGGAGACGGTTGGGAGTCAGGGAGTAAGCTAGGAGGTCGCGCCATCCTGCACGCGTTGGACAGAAAGAAAGGCATTCGCACCGCGATGAGCTGTGGGCATCAAATTCAATCTCCGCTCGGAGTCTCACATCAGGTGGCGATTGTGGCACAACACGACCGAACAAACGGAGCCAACGCATGTAATATATTTCAGATAGCCAGGACAAACAAATGATAGAATTAGAGGCCTACGAGGGTCCACGAGAGTATTGTACGCAAAGGAGAAAACAAGGGGTCGGTCTGAGTTCAAACTGCGGTGTGCGGAGCAATGTTTAGCGACGAGTCCTGAGGGGCAAAAAGAAAAAGAAAATTATTATCAGTCGAGAGAGGGAGAAGGAGAGAGAGAGCTAGAGATCGACGTACCTCTTCGCTGATCTGGTGACAACGGTGCTATCCTCCTTCGCCCCGCGGACCCCCTCCTCGAGCCTGCGCTTTGCTGCCCGTGTCGAAATGCCTCCGTCATCCTGCGTATTCTCGTCTGGCAGGATAGCCTTTGTCTTCGAGAGGCTGGTCCTTTTCTTCTTTGGCATGGTTAGTGGCGCAGATGGTGCTGAAGATGAGAATGTCCTGATGAGTTCGTTGAGAACCCAACTGACGTCGGAGACGCAGTCGAACCATGGCGGGCAAAACAGTCGGGCCTCGTCCGACCCAAGAGCCTGGCCCCAAAAACACAAACCTGCTACCACCATCCAGAGCCCGTTCTTACCGGACAGACGAATGTCATCCCAGTCTACACCGGGCTCATCTACCTGAACAAACCGTCCTAAATCGTCCTTCATACGACCCTCCGGTTGAACCTCGCTCCACCACTCCCGGAAGTGGTTCTCGAACGTTGCCAGATCACGGATCTTCTTTGGCTGCCTGTCGGTCCAAGGGCGGGCGCATGCAATCCAATCTGTGAGCTCGGTTGGCCTTGAGCCCTTTTCCAAGCCCTCAGGACCAGACTGATGAAAAGAGAGCACAGTGTTAGACAGACAACGCGAACTCCGACAGAACGAAGCACGTACATAAAATCCCATTAATTCCTCATGTCGATACAACCGGTCGACCATACTATCAAACCAGTCTCCGAGCCCTGCACCATAAAGGAAATTGAATCCCTTCTTATTCCACTCCCGCAACGTCAAGTCCTGGATATCTAGGAAAGATAAAACTGGACGTGTGGTCGACTTGGATATGTTGAGGTCCGAGCCTACTGGAGGAGCCGCAATAGATGAAGAGGGTGGTGGATGGGCTGAGGGCGATGTCGTTTGGTCAAGAGGGAAATCGAGCGGCTGGGCGGACGATGACGACGACTCCGGTGGATCTACGGGACCTGGTGTCGGTGCAGAGGGAGGAGTTGAAATGGGAGATGGGAGTGGTGCTGGCGTGTTTGTGAGGTCTTGCACAAGTGCGAAGGCAGGCGTAGGCGCGGGGGGCAAGGGTGGCGTGGGTGGCGTTTCGAGATCTCGTACATGTTGAGGAGGTGGAGGCAACGCCAGTTGAGAAGAGGGCGGTAGCATCTGTTGGTTCGTGGAGTTCGGCAACTGTGCGGAGGCGAAAGTAACAGCAGAAGAAAGAAGTGGTGCGGGGGCAGGTGCGGACCATGTGGGAGTCGATGTTGCAGGGGCGAGGGGCATGGCAAGGAGGTCGGGCATAACATTGGAGGAAGCGGCGGGAGCGGATGTACGTTGAGCAACCGGTGTTGGTTTGGGACGAGGATGGGGTTGGTTCGTAGTCACGAGCCAGCGAGGGGAGTCTGAGGTAGCAGCCGGCAGAGAAAATGAGGAATCATGGAGAGAGGGGGTGGAGGACGAGGCGGGCAACGGGTCGTTGAGATACTGCGAGAGGGTTGAAAATCGGGATACATAAGGACGGGTGGCTGCATCAGAGTCATTGAGAAATTTTGAGAGGGAGTATCGGGGTACATAAGGACGGGTGGCTAAGTCAGAGAGCCTCTCGAAAGGTGAACGAAAGCCAGCATCGAAGGAGTAGGACTGAGGGAAGGCAGAAGGCGACGGCATGGACCTCGGGTTCGGAATGTTGGCGTCTGTCTCGGCGGTAGCCACGTGTTTCGGGTGCCGAAGCACGTGGTCGAGGCTTTCACCTTCCCGGAGCAAGCTCATCTCCACCTGTGGCTCAAAGAATGGCTCTTCGATAGCTGAATCCTCGACCTTCGACCCACTATCCTCTACTTGCGATCCGATATCGCCCATTCGTGGCTCGATATTTTCGACCTGTAGCTCGACATCCTCAACTTGCGGCTCAATCTCGTCGTCAGCGCTCGACGATGCCATCGTTGCGTTCTGGCGAGTCTCCCTGTCCTTGACAGCTGTTAAAAGATAAGTAGCCTGCCTATTTCGAAAAGATTTCGTCGCTCACTAAAACACTCATCTGCGAATTTCGTGAACGCAGCCTCAGCCTCATTCACTACTGCCGGATCATATTGTTCCCACTTTCGTGGGGCAGCTTCTACTGTTTCGCCTGCCGTCACACTTCGAGGATTCAGCATTTTTGTGTTCATGTTATCCAGAGGTACAACTTACTGTACAGCTCCGACTTCCCCATTGTCCTGGATCGGTGCCGCGATCATGATGGAAACGGCGGCGCCGAACCGCATCTGAAGAGCCGTTGCAAGAGGTTGGAGGAGGGCGAAGGCTTGTTGGCGTGTCCTGCGATTAGACGGTAAGAATTCTGTCATAGCCTATGTGACCTATACACACCAAGTGTACTGCTTCCCTAGCTGAGGTATGTTTTTCATCTTCTCCTCATAGTCTTTCATCTTCTCCTGATACATTTCCTCGACGTCGGCCTTGACCGTGTCCTGGAACGCCTGCGTCTCCGTCTGCCAAAGGCGGCGGACAACAGTGTTTCGATCGTGGACCCCGATCTTCGTCGGCACCTCCTTCCCCTCCGCTTTCAGCTTGGCGCACTTCGCTTTCCACTCCTCCTTGAAAATTAAGCTGATATGTGTCGACCAGTACCGCCGGGTGTACTCTTGGATCAGCTGAGGCATCCGCGGCTTCTCAAGATACAGACCCGTGAGGCTGGCAAACTGCTGGCTCAGTGATGCGAGTTTTGCCATGTCCATATCGGCCTTTGTGAGTCGTGAGTGACGGTAAGGATACCAGGCTGCAATTTTCTGTTTGGCCATATACGTTAGCTGACGGGGGTTGCGAGCATCATAGATCAGACGTACCGGACGTGTAATGTCCCAAATTTCCTTCGTCCAGTCGTCACCGGGTCCAAGGTAGTATTGTGATTTCAGTTGCTTGAAATCAAGCTTGCTCAGGGTCGATAGAAAGGCCGTCGTAAGCGGGTCGGGAGCTATTATCGGTGAGGGGTTCGAGGCGGGGATAGTGGTGTCAGCTGGAGGTGAAAGGCGTGGATTGGCGGGCTCATGAAGTGTCCTGGCATCCAGTGCATCTGTGGAGTCGGTGTTCGGCGCGTCAGCAGAGTGGGTGTTCAACGTGTTGGTAGAGTCGGGATTCGACGCACCGGTGGAGTTGGGATTTGGCGCATCGGTGGAGTCGATGTTTGACGCGTCGGTGGAGTCGATGCTCGGTGGGCTGGTAGGGACTGGTACAGAAATAAGGTAAGTCCAGTCCGCATTCTCATCCGGACGGGGAAGAAAGCTTACTGCGTGCTGGCTGTAGGACGATGCCACGCTCGACAAGAAGATGAAATAGCATACCCCACCCGTGCGTAGTGAGTAGCGCTCTTGTAATCTCATTATAGAATGCAGGTGCGCGTTTTTGGTGGCCGACTATCTCCTCTTGGTACTGAATCAGGTAACCGAGCAGAAACTGCTCGATAATTCCTGTGGCCCAGGAAGTTTTCCCTCGCCCTTGGGCCTCATCCTCCGAATCTGGGTCAGCCGCCTTTTCATGCGCCTCCACTACCTGTTGAGCCTGACTTTTTTTACCCTTCTTTCTGCTCTTCTTCTTTTGTGCATTTCTATTGTTGTGGGTGCTTGTGGTAATTGTCGGCGGAGTGGCAGTGGCCGGACGAGTGGCATCCAGGACCGAGCTTAGAGGGATTTTGGTGGCTGGGGTACTGGCAGAGGCGATATTAGGTGGAGTATCGGTGGTGGCGACGACGGCGACGGGGATTTGGCCGGAGTTCTGAGGTGCAGTAGGCATGTCGAAGGGCTGTATGTTGCGCTCAACGTTGGAAGCTTGGGAGGGTGTTTCGGACATGACTAGAGTGCCGTGTATATTATTTGGGTCAATTTCCGCGAATGTGGCGACGATGCATGGTTTTGTAATCATCGCTTGAGATTGGATGGTGGTTCAGCACTGTCGGATATATTGCATAATAAAGATGTTCCTGTGCACTCAAGATATGATTGATTCTTTTGCTTTTGGACCCTCGGAGTTGTTACCAGCTGTGCAGCCAGGCCTGCCTCGTTCACTGACCCAATGAAGGATGATCTTGGTAACCTTCTTTCGGTAATGTTGAGATGACAAATTGTGGAATCCACTCAGTTTCCTTGTCAACCCGTCACGGACTTCATGATAGCCGAAGAACGAAGCTTTATTTTTAGCAAGACAGCAACTACCTACCACACTATGTACAAGCAGAAACACAGCCAACCCAGCAGTTGATAACCAAAAAGACATGCACAAGTAGCGAAGATGGGAAAGGAATGTGACAGAAATACAAAAACAGAAAAGAAAGTTCGAGTCGAGCAAGTAAGGAGAACACACGATGAAAACACGGGATAAAAACGCCGATCAGCAAAGGTAACAGGAACCGGAACTATAGTCTTCCCGTCTCAACGCGAACTTCTCCGAGGCGCCCACGAGCATGGTACTCGTCAACCGCCTCCTTCAAGTCGGTGTAGCTGCCATGAGAAGCATTGTGGACACGGTTGGTCTGAGCTAAAGCCTCGCGCCTAGGTGAAGGAGCACATTAGATACAGCAAAGAGGGAGAGGACGGCCGTGAGGATGAAGAGGAAAATTGTACGTACCAAGTGAAGTATATTCCGGGCCTACGTCCGATAAAAACTACGTAACACTTCTGCTTATTCTTACGAGAGACCCCATGATCACGGTTGAACTGGTCGCGTCCAGGCCCGATGTACGGGTCTGGATACGACCGGCAAATGGGGGCCGCGGGAGAAGAAGCAGAGGCCGGCTTGGCCTGTTGGGGGGCAGGAGGTGTGGAATGGGTCGATGGGGACATGGAAGAGGACTGGGCTGAGCGAGCAGATGATGCGCGCACAGGGGTGGAGGGTTTACGGAGCTGGGGAGATCGATGAGGCGAGGGGTGTGAGGGAGGCGAGGAGACTCTTCCAGGATTCGAAGGGGCTCCGCTGCGCCTGCCGTTGTGGGCAGCACGGGCGGCGGCTACCGTCTCCGCAGCGATTGCAATATCGTAGGCTTGCTGAGCGTCCTGAGAGGTCTTGTACTCGCGGATGTTGGGGTCAGACATGCCGGCGGTGACTCTCTGAACTTCACGACTGTATGTACGATGTGATTATTATATAGACAAGAATGGTCGAAAAATTGAAATAAAAAAACATACAAATCGCAGTAATAACCGCGATCCTCGCCGTCGAAAACGACCCAGTGACCCAGGTAGTTGAACACTTCCGGGTAAGGGATATCTAGGGTGGGTAAAGCCAATAGTGATTAGTATCGCTGGAATAAGGATGTGTGAAAGGGGTAGAAAAAGGGGGCAGCAGAAAGAAAGTATCAGAAAGGGAGCGGCGTACCGTACTCATCGCTGGCATCGCCATTGCTCTTGTATGAGCGGGTGTCGTCTCCTGCACTCGCGTAACCATCCTCCTCGGTCACCTCACGCGCGGCACGGGCTCTTCCTGTTCGCTCCGTTTGAGGAGCGTCACGACGGAGGGCCACAGAGAGGTTCAGCCCAGTTTCGAGGGCGTCGGACAGGCCGTCGATGTTCAATGCAACGTGCATGACGATAGGCTGGAGCGGGGCGGTCGAGGGTAGTGCGTGGAGCAAGTGAGGGTGGTGGTGAGAACAAAAGGGCGGACGGACGAAGAAATTGCTGGACGGGGGGATTTGAACCGTGTGAGCTGGACCCTGAGAGCCACGAGGCCGGCTACGCAGGGATGGTCACACGGATGTGCGTGGATTCCATCGTTGGCGATGACGAGCGAGCGAGCGAGGAAGACGAGAAGAGGTGGATGGCGTACAAAAGCCTGCAGAATATGATATCGCCGTCGTCATCGTCATCGTTGTCGTTGTCGTACGTCGTCGACGACGACAGTGATGACGACGACGGCTGTGGCGGCGGTAAGCGGCGACAAAAATCATGACGACAAAAAAAAGAATGATACATACCAGTCGCGATGTGGAGGCCTACAAGCAGAACGGGACCGGGAGAACACAATGGCTGAGAGAGGGTGGGAAGGGGCAGCAGGTGCGGCAAAGGTGACGATGGAGGAGCTGAGCGTGCTGGAAGCAGCGTGGAGGAAGCAGCGACAGGAAGCAGCGACAAACGCGAAAGACCTCGGGAGATGGGGCCGGCGGTCCGGATGTGGTGCTGAGGATTGCCGGAAATGGGAGAGCTCAGCGGGTCGTTCCGGATGTATCGGAACCCGATGGACAGCGACGAGTGGTGAGCCTGGACAATCTGCTCGCCCTATAGGGCGGAGCATTCTTAGGGAGTGGTCTTTAATAAAGACCCCTATAGAGGACTGGACTGTATAGTACTGGACTCTTTGCAAAGAGTCCCACTCCTAGTATAAGGACTCTTTAATAAGAGAGTACATCATCTGGTGGATGTAAGCTGCTCGTATTATGAGGCCATATGGTAGATGGAACTCATAATGAGTATTCTCTGTAGATACAACACCACACAACTGTCAAAACTTCCGCATCTACTCGCAAGATTTGGTACGTTTAATAAAACCTCTGAGGGTCATATTCTCAAAAACTCATGATATAACTACTCTATTGTTTCCAGGACACATATCACCCCTGACATTCATAGCAGGAGTCATGCTTGGCACGCGTCGCCACTCGAGAACGCCACAACTCACGCCAGACATCATCGGTGAGCCGCGTGGGGCCGCGTTCTCGACGACTCCCGCATCGCTATCTGGGCCAACGTCTTTTTCTCTGACGTTCAACTGTAATACTGTAGGTACAATACAGATGAACAGGTTGGAGAATCTTGACTATAAGGGTCTAATATTTATACTAATACAAGTCCGTGAGAAATGCCACATCATCAAGGTCCACCACATCA